TTATACTGTTCCATACGAAATCGCTTGAGCCTATTCCAAAAGCCAGCGCTCCAAAATAGCTAGGTCAAACATAACACAGAATACTTTGAAGTACGTACATGAAGAGGAATATTCGAAATATTGTGCTTAAAACAACAATTACAAAACCAAGAATTAGCTCGGCTTTTCTAAAATAAAATCTCAATTGAAAAGGGTAAAAAATATTGCACAGTACGTGTCAATGTGAATCCTATCGAATAAAACCATTGACGGAAGCGAAAATGGCTAATAACCGCGGCAAAACAAACAACAACAAAACACGCCGTGAGTGCACAATTTGTCCGATCTGGCAGGTTTGGATACATCGAGCGGGGTTAGTATTTCAGTTTCCGACCTCAAGAGCTGGAATGCTGCTGCCCATTCAGGCAAAGTGTACAAGTTTTCTTGCATCGCTTGAATGAACGCTCTTCCGAAAGGGAGCTTTTTCTATTGAAAGCGCACCCGATCCTCGACAGCGAGATGCATTCCACCCCAAATCGACCTAGGATGGCTCGTTCTCTTGAAGGTAGTTGGGCAAAACTAAGGACTTAAATAAAGTAACTATCACGTTCAGCACGTGATTGTTCAGGAAAAGTGGAAGAACCGGTTTGAATATTTGCCCGGAACTTCCTTTAAGTATGCTTAAATTCCACAATATTTATTATATCAAGGGCTAAAATAGCTCTATATCCAATAGTTTTAGTGTAGTTGTCAATTGGGAGGAAAACTTTCCTGGCAAGGGAATGCTTTGTACGCGAAGTGGCATTTATAAGAGTTTTTGCCAGTTTTTGGTAAAGAAAATCTAAAATTTCAATATGTGGAAGAACCAGTGCGTAATGGTAACTATCAAGCAGGTTCGAATTCTGTGTCGCACGTTTTCACCAAATATCGCCCAAAATTACCGTTCAGCAGAATGAGACAAAGATCTGAGATAGGTTTTTCCAGAAGACTTTTTTGATATACACCTCGTTATGGATGGTAACTTGGAAAATCATTCCTTTATGAACAGAATGCTTTTGTCAGAACGACATCAGTAAGAGCTGAAAGCAAAGGAACTTTTGGCCAACGATTTATTACGTTGGGTATTGTAGTTATCCCAGCATTCTCTTTGTTTCCGTAGAAATATCTTCATATAGCGCAATATGAAGATATTTCTACGGAAACAAAGAGAATGCTTAGATAACTACAATACCCAACGTAATAAATCGCCAAATAAAGACGCGCAGGCCCCAGCATTGTTTCCATCCGTTTCTATCTCTCGCTAGCGTTATCCACGATGTTGGTATTGAATTGTGGCGGCGACGTTCGCGAGGTCCAGATCCACTACTCGTTACCAGCTGAGAATTCAGCTGGTCCATCCGTGTAAAAGCACATCTGGTCGGTGGCCTCCCTCGAGGACC